TATTTGCCTGTCCCATTAATATGAATTTTTTTCCTTCCTGTCACTCCACCTGAAGGCCAGGGATGCAATATGTCTAGGTCATGTGATTCTACACAGTTGCTCAGCAACATACGTGGGGCTGCTTCCTAAAGAGCTGTCTTTGACCCAAACTCATTTTACGATTCACTGTTCAAAGCTCACCAAAAACACATGATGGTTTGGCCTTCCCTCTGAACATTTTATTCAGGTAGTTGGAAGTAGAAATTACATTTTAGCTTTACAACACAAATCCTTTTGTAATTATTTTTCATAATATATGTAAGACTTGAAAAGAAATGTTTGTTTCTATTTCCTATAAATTGTTAAATTAAATAGTACTAGTTTCTGCTGGCTCGTTTCCAACTGGTATTTTCTTATGCACGTTTATACATGTAAAAGTGAGATTCCAAAAGTCAACTTCTTGCTGTTCATATTTTCTTTTATTTTTGAACCAAAGTTTGTAACTGTCACCTCAAAGAGGGAAATACAAATTTTATTAATAAAATCAAGTCTTGTTTATCTGGATTGGTCATTCTCTTATTTCATTGTCCAAAATGCACCCACTGTCATTACTCTAATTTTATTCTGCCTCCAGACCATCCGGGCTTGAAAAAAATGTTACTACATGTCCTGGCAAGCACTGGGCAACAGCACTGGGAGGAGAAGTGTTAACAGAGAGGTGCTAATCTGGCCACTCTCCGTAGGCAGCAGGGATAAATTCTCATGTGGTTGGTGTGGATTTATTGCTCCAGCAGTCCAGGTAATACCATCAAACACAAGACAGGAGCCTGATACTCCTTCCCCAGCTACTCACAACTTACAGCGACTGTCCATTCCTCAATCTTGTGCTTGTAGGACTCCATTGGGTATGCAGATGACCCTATTTATTAGTAGGAAATGCAAGAACTAGACCAAGGCTTGGAAAGTAGTGGAACACAGAATGTCCAGCATCTTGTTTTAGACTGTGGAACCAGAACCAGCAATGGGTCCAATGACATGACATATGTCCCCTTCCCTCCTTTTAATCTGCTACTTGTTCTCCATGAACTCTGGCAATGTCTAAGTGAGATGTGAGGGCAGCTGCAGCAAGCTTGGCAGAGAAGCAGACGTTTTTTCCTCCTCAAGGGGGCTGGGCTAAGTTAGGAGCTGACCTGTTCAAGCCTATCTAAAAAAAAAACTTCCTCGTCTGAGTGCTTTAGCGTAAAAAATAAAGACAGTTGCAGTTTGGCAGAGTCAGGATTAGTCTGCAGCAGAATGTTGTTTCTAAGAATGCAATGACATATGCAAGCAGCCAAATGAAACCAGATCTCCAAAATTAGTCCAAGCATCTTGCCAAGGTTTGTGTCAGCAACATCACAAAGGAGGAAATGAACTTGAGTCTTCCACTCTTTTCAGCAAGGATACATCTGGTTTATTTTTTAACCTTTCTGAAGGCCTTAACCACTTACCTTGCTATTTATACTTGTCATGAAAGCATCTCACCATTGCTTGTTATCTAACTCCTCATTGACCTATCTCTTTCTCCATCTGCTGTTCTTTTCTCTCCAAGTTTCAGATTAAAGGGGGAAAAAATGCCATTATATATTCTTCCCTTCAAGCAAAAATTATGCTCTTGGTTTTCCCTTGAAAGAAGTCTCCTATTAGCAGTGCTTAAAACTCAAGCAAACAAACCAAAAGGGCACTTCAGAACAGAAGAAAGTTTCACATCAAAACTCACATATTAGTCTTCCTATAAAAAAAGCTTCAGATTCTATTGTCAAATTCTAACAGCCTCCAACATAAAACATAAAACCTCCAATTCATGATACGGTATTATAAAATACTTAGAAACAAATCAAACCTTCAAAACTATGCCAGCCAAATTCCTTGCTCAGCCAAACCCAAAAGGAAAGAATTATCAATATTCTTCATACCCTAAATTAAAGACCTGTGCAATCACGAAAAGACTGAAATTTTTATGTAACGTGGATTTTATGTCTAGAAACAGAACTTGGGTGTTCTGTGAACTTGAGGGTTCACCCTACCTAAAGCAGACTGGGCAATTTGTTTTGGAAGTTTGCTTCAAGACCCTTTAAACAGAAAGCCATCCTGGAGATGATTTCTTCACTGCAAACACAGACTGTGGTTGTGTTGCATGGAAATGGAGTAACTCAGCACATGGGAAACCAAGCCCAAAAATTACTCCAGACTGAGGCAATGTTCTGACCAGAATTACACAGAGTGTAATAGACTAGAGTGGCAGAAATTGTTCTGTGTGAATGAGTGGAGTTTCTTTGCCTCTCATGCTGGATAGGGCAGTATCAACTCACCATGACTGGCACATCTCTTAGAAAAGCTCATAAAATGCAATGAAGATATTTTTTTCCAGTGCAAGTGAGAGCCATTATGGCTAACACCAACAGTCACCTTGTGACACAAAAAGGTACAAAGCTACATGGAATAAGGACAGTGAGCTCCTTAAGATTCTTCCCCTTGGGAACAGCTTTGTTAATTCCAAAATTAATCTTCACATGCTAATGGCTGGAAGGAGAAGCCTTACTAGCCACTGGTTTTCTATTGCAAGCACACTCATTTTTCCATGAAAGAACATCTTCTATTGTAGATGGACCAAAAAATTGAAAATTACGAAGATGGGATATTAAATGTCGTGTCTATTATATTTACCTGGAAACCTGTCTTATCTGTGTTCCTTTTGAAAGCACGTAAATTATCAGAGGCTCATTGTTAGTTCAGTGAAAAGCAATGCCAAGATTATTGCCAAGGAGTAGATTGCTCTAAAGCTATTTATACATTTTGTTTCCAATAAAAACGTTGAAGATTAATACAGTGAGGAAGGCTGCAAACTTACAGATATGCTGACACTCTGCTCTAGCCAAGACTGGCCTTTTTTCCTTCTCAGCTCTGTGAATGAAGGCCCTGTTCTAATGAGAGAGGATGCAGCCAAAGCCCACAATGGACATATTTTGTCTAGGTTGTCCAGGGAGCTTTGGCAGACCTTGACTTTGTTTCCAATATCTCATGGGGCAGGGGAGGGGAAGACGTGATCTCCATCAAAACACACCTAATTTCACTAAGACAGACAAGAGTTGTTAAAACTCAGCAGTGGAACTGGGATGCAAGTGCCTCCTCTGCTCCCTATTATAATCAAAGAAATTGGGTTTTTTAACATCAAAATTCAACATAGTTAATCTTGCTGAAGCATGAAAGTAACTCCAGCTTGCACTGTGATTAAAATTTGGATGAAAATTAGAAATTCAGTCCATCCAATAAGATGCTGGTTGGAAACCAAATGAATTCTCTTCTAGCCCCAGAAGTTCTCTAAACTGGATCTTCTGTTGTGTTTTCAATGGTTAATTAGAAGAACCTTTCTGAGTTCACAGGACTAGGACAAGGCTGCCCAGAGCCCCAAGGTCATCTTAATAATCAGGAATGAACACAGGAGCCTCACACTCAGCTCCCCTCTCACCTGAAATATTTCACAGCCAGAGATCTTGCACATGGCCTTAGTCCCTGTGGGCTGCAGCAGTGCAAGGCCACTGAGTCATGGCCTCAGAGGCCCAGCCTGGAAGCTCTGAAGTTCCCCAGCAGAAGTTAAAAGTAAACATAGCTACAGGAGAGCCATAAAGCTGAGTTTTTTAAATTAAAAATGTTAACTACATGAGGAGACTCAGGATGTGACTAACAAATTAAACCATTACACTGTAATTGTTGTTTCTGAAATGGAAATAATGAATTCTTATTTGTTAGCTTACTCAGAATGTTACTCAGAAAGGCCACACAAGTCAGCCAGGGTATATCATGGAGCTGCATGACTTCTAGAGCAGGTCCTCCTCATTACAGCAGGAAAGTATCTTAAGTAGAATGAGAGGTGGAAAGATTTAGAATGAAGCTGTTTTTACAGACATAGAAGCTTTCATCTGTCAAATATTAACTGGAAAAAAAAAAAAAAAAAGGTAAGGTTTTATATCCTATCCTGACAGTCTCTTGAGCCTGGGCCTTTATTTTGTTACAATATCATCTCAATGGCAGCTCAGGTGAGAAAGTAGCTGTGCTTTGTGGTCCTGGTGCCCAAATTAGCTCACAAAATAACATAGCACAATGTCAGGGCTCAGGTTATGGAAAATGCATAAAAATATAATCTTCCTAACATTCACTATTCAGTAACTTTCTGATTTGGATGTATAGCAATCACTTATCCCTTTGTCATTCCTCAGAAGGATTTTAGAAATATCCACTTTGCTCTAAGCCTGCAGAGTTTTTCAGTGCACAGATATTAAGATCAAAGTTGTTTACTGTCAGAAAGAACCAAAAATGGAATTTTAATTTGTGAAAACTTTCCACAGCACTCCAAATTCTGAAAAGAACAAAGAACATTTCACCTTCCAACTACTCCCCATTTTTAAATTGTGATGTTTCCATTTGAAATAATGAGGTGTTTTTGTCCAAACTCATTGAAAGTATTTGATTGACAGGACATCCATTGGTACCCTCATCAAGATTGTTTTCCCATGTGCTGGGAGACAAGTGATGAGTACAATACTAACATATTGGAATAAAATACAATGCTAACATGTTGGAGGTATAAAAACACCTCTAGAAGAGAAAGGCACAATAAAATAGTTCTCAATGTATAACAGAAAGCAGGGAAATGTAGTGGGGGAAAAAAAAAGGAAATAAGAAAGCAGGGGGAAATACATGGGAAAAGAATGATAGAAGAACTTGCTTCCCTCAACTGAGGGCAGGAGGGTGAGAAATCTTTATGGGCAGTCTGGGAGCATCCCATGTGATTGCTGCTACTGCAGGGCTCAGGTTTGTTTCTCATAGTCAATGCAAAGGCAGTTTGCACAGTTGGGAGGCACCAGCAAAACTGGTTTATAAAAAACACACCTGAAGAGCAGCAAAGATTTCTGTGTGGGAAACACCTGCAGAACTGCCTGCAGCCACATCCCTGTGCCTCGCTCTCCTTCCCCTCCCACACTCACCTCTCTCTCAGACACTCCTGGCACTGCCTCCTCTGCAGGATCTCTGTTCTTCTGGAGCAGCCACATTTTGCTGGGACACTGGAAAGCGCAGGAGATCTGAAAAGGGGGACAACTTTTAAGGTTAAGAGAGAATGGATGACGGGGGAGGGTGAGCAGGCTCAGAAATCAATATATACCCATGCTACCATACTGCCAGACCCATAAAATAGAGAGCCTGTATGGACCATCTAGATTAGGAACAGGCAATTTCTGTGTCCTTTTCCTACCACAGAGAAGCACCGAGACCAGGCAGCTCTGAGGGCTGTCTCTGAAAGGAAAGTCAGATAAAAACAATAGGGAGTTCAGCTCACACTGCTGACCCTTTGAAACCTCTCTCTTCCTTTTAAATTTGACCTATTTCGTTCTTTGAACACATTGACATCACACCAAAGCCACAATATCACAATGAACCACATTTGACCTAGCATACATCTTCCCATGAAAATATTCCTGAAAAAGCAGTAAAAATATTTTAAATGGACAGTCCACATGAACTGAGGATACCTGAAAATGTTTCTGATGAAATGATTTTTGACTATTCCAATGCATTATGCAGTTTTGCATGTGTGCATTCATTTCTCATGTTTTGCATAATCTTTCTGATGACTGTATGCACAAGTGTACCATGTGGAAACAGCAGTGAGCCGATGTGATTACTCATTAAACTTAATGAGAAGGTTAGAATTATCTACTATAAAACTAAGAAGAAAGCAAAATCACAAATTTAAAAGCTAACTAAGGGCTGAAACATATGCAAGTACAATTACTTAATACACTCTTAACATGCAGAACAATAAATATATCATACACAGCAAATTTGTATGCATGTTACCCAAGTGTAACTCAGCTGTGATGGTGTATGAAATAATACATTTAACTCTAATCAGACACATAACTCAGTGGAAGCAAAACCACAAAGTACTTAAGGGCTGTCTTGCACCACTGGAATATTTTTCATAGCCAGATAGCATTCTGCTCTTCTCTGTTTAAACACAGGGAAGGAAGACAGAGCTTGATGTGTGCCTCCAGATCTCTGTAAATAAATGCAGGGTGACTCCTACACACAGAGGTCAGGGCTATAACAACACAAAAAACAGAGAAGGATGAAGCCCAGGGCCTGCAAACAATGTATGTGTGACAAGGGAGAGTTACAGAGGAAGATGACCAAGTACAGCTGAGGGATCATAAAACCACAGGGAATACTGAGTTCAGAAGGACTCCCAAGGATCATCAAAGTCCAGCTCCACACAGGCCCATCACCAAGGGTCACACCACTCCTGAGAGCATTGTCCAAGCACTTCCTGAGCTCTGCCAGGACTGGTGCTGTGACCCTGGGGAGCCTGTTCCAGTGCCCAAACACCCTCTGGGGGAAAAACCTTTGCCTCTGCCTAATATCCAACCCCAGCCTCTTCTCAGCCTCAGGTGAGTTACCTGCATCCCACTAGTGGTCACCAGAGAGAGAGATCAGTGCCTGCCCCTCCATTTCTGCCTGAGGCAGCTGTGGTCTCACCTGTGTCTCCTTCACACTTAGCAAGCCAAGTGAACTCAGCTGCTCCTGATATGGTTTCCCCTCAAGGCACTTCACTGTCTTGGTAGCTCTCCAATAGGTTTAAATCTTCCTTCTATTGTAGCACCCAAAACTTGTACTCAATGTAATATTTACAGTATAGTACTCCAGGAAATACTCAAAAGCCCTTCTTCAAGAGGTGGCTTTAAGGATGCTTTTCAATGTTTGTTCTGACCAAAGCTCCCTGCAGAGGCCTGGGTTTGGCACTCCCAGCAGCAGCCCCCCTTGATCACTCAGGGCCTGTGCTCTGCCAGGTCATTCCAAAGCCCACAAGGTGACTTTGAGCCCATGTGTCTGTCAAAAGACACACACCTCCACTTACCCCTAGCTGAGACCCAACGTTATTTTTTTGTCAGGAATTTTCTTCCCCTCAATTCTCATTTCTCCTAAAAGCATCATATTAAAAATGTACCGCTCCCAGCACCCACAGAGTTTTATGCATGTGAGGAAGATTCATATTGAGTTGTTATCACTTTAAAGGCATAATCAAGGTTAAAAAAAGACCAACAAAATCTCAAACCCCACCAAATAGAAACATTGCCCTCTCCTCCTTTGAACCTGTGCATGTGCTCACAGGGTGATGGCACTCTGACCTTTCTCCCTGCCATGCCATGCAAAACACTTCCCATGAGCTAGTGCCACCCTGGGGGTCATCCTCTCCAGAGCTTGATGGCTGCAACCTGAGGTGAGAGACCTTTTCAGAGTGAAGGAATGAAAAAGGTTTGTTTTCTTTACTCAGGTGTTTCTGTGCTAGAATGGGCTGCAAAATCTGAGTGGGTATGAGCATTCAAACGGCAGGCATGCAAAGGTAATATTTAAACAACTCTATAAATGAGCTAGGAATGTGTGTCACTGGTTTTGAAGCACTATCTAAGGAGTTTTTATGCTGAAAACACTTCTTTTGAGACATAAGTCATATTAAGCAGCTTTGTGGCAGATACAGTAGGTCCTCTTTCATGCAATCTCTTTCTCTGAAAGCTTTGATTGAGAACTAAGACAAATGAAGGGTTTAGTGGTTAAGCCTGGAAGCTTCCTTTGGTAAACTCCTTCCTGAATTAATTCCTGCTGGAGCTCATCACCCATAATAATATTTCAAGAATCCTTCCCCTATCATCTTCCTCTGTCAGATTAAATTCATCTTTTTGATGTGACACACATTAAACACTGTAAAAGAGGAACAAAAGTTTCACTACTCAATAGGGAGAAGAAGCACAGAGTGTTGTTATTGTCCACAGGTCTACTTTTGCACTTGGTGAAATATGAAGGACATTTCAGCAGAATTTTAAAGATAAACAGTTGAAAAGAAAGAATTCCCTTGTCCACAGTCCATCACCTTTAAGGACCATGGGAAGGATTTTTCTATATTCACAGCTTTAGGATGCTTCCATGCAGCATGTACAACAAAGTGAGAGACCTGCACCAGTCCTTACACACAGACAACTATCAAATTATCAATTGTGGTTTTGGCTAGGCTCTCTTCCCCTGGTTCTCCTTAGCTGTGAATTGTCTTAGGCTGAAGGTATCCTACAGAAACAAATGGAACAACAAGTCTTGTCAAAAAACACAGCTGATAGGCAGGCAGGTGGGAACTGCAAATTAAAACACTTCTGAGCAGGGCAGAACTCCAGGACATGGTAAATTCTTAAATTAACCAACATGCAAACCATGCAGTTTCCCTTGCTAAGCACTGCTGCTATGGAGATTGCAAAAAAAAAAGGTCTTACCCTTAATGAGCTAGGATCCAGTTATGCAGAAAATGCAAAGACACATTTTAAACACCTAGGGATAAAAGGAGAGAAAGGTTAAGACAGCCTTGATCTGTATCCCATCTGAAAATAAATGCAAATTCTTTCTCTGGCAGATGCTTTTAGAACACTTGGAAAAAACCAAACCCACAAAAAATTATTTTTCTCTAATGCTTTCATGAAAAAAAAAAAAAATTGAAAAAAAAAAAAAAAAAAAAAAAAAAAAAAAAAAGCTTGAGCTGTAAATATAGATTATGTATCTTACAGGTGTCCAAAAGTTTTAAAGCAAATCAAAATAAACTTTTTCAGTAGGCTCAGACTTCCTGAGGTGTAATACATTTAGTTTTTAACTCCTTAAAAGCTTTTATATGACATTTGAAAAAGAAATAACCCTTCAGTCAATAAGACATTAACACATGCCAGTATAAAACATACAAAAAAAATGTAATAGAAGTTACACACATAAGTTTATATGAAGATAAAAATACAGTCACTCTTCACTGCCATGAACTCAACCACATATAAATACACTTGGTCTAACTTCACAGAACTTCCATGGTTTGTGATGGTATCAAATCAAGACTGCAGAGAGCTGAAGGCTGACACCAGGTTAAGTGAAAGGGAATCAGAGCCATTCTGCTTCCCTGGCACCCATTATGGTAATGTGATCAGTACCTTGACAGATGCTAAGAAGAATCATTTTGCTGATTGACTTTTCTTCAAATCTAAGGCTGTGGGCAATCAAAGAAAATATGAACATCTGGCTGAGCTTTTGATTGCCATGCTCACTGATATAGTGCACCCAAATAAGCAACAATTAGTACAGCTTGTGTCAAAAGACCCATCAGCTAATTCAAATTAAGTCAGGAAAATTGAATCCAATTGGCATTCATGCATATTTGTATGCAAAGTTTAAATATGATTCTTCTGCATTACATTATCCTTTATTTACAAGGGAAAAATATGCAAAGTTTTGTGGTTTAAGCAAATATTTTCAAAAGCCTTTTGACTTCTTAAAGCCAAACTTCTGGTAAAACTCTGTGTGCTTTCAAAGGACATATTCAATCTAATAAACAGAAAAATGTGGTGACTTTCCCAAGTTCATATTCCTCACTTCTTAAAAAATGTCACAAATTTGCACAAGTAATTCATTGGCACTTTGTCAGTAGCAATTTTAGTAATGCAGAACTGATATGTGGGTAAATTCACTAGCTAATAGAATGGTCAAGATAACTACCAGACTGCAATAAGAAAGAAAAATCTGAAGACTAATTTCCTCATGTATTTGCTTGATTATAAGTGTAAAACCCTTGGAATATGTACTTTCTTTTTTTAAAAAATAGCTTTCCTGTTGGGATTCTATTTATGGCAACAGTAAATTAGGCTGCATGAGAACCTGAGATTAAAACTAATCAAAGGCAAAAGACAAGCTGTGTGCCTAATTTTTTAACAAGAGAAATTTAGTAAAAAAAATTCAAATTTATTTTTATTTAATTTTAGCTCCTTGCAGTAAATAAACTTTAGTCATTGTGTGACAGATATTGTTTCCAAGTTAATCTGTTAAAATTTTATTTGTAACTTGGGTGTGAAATTTGGGTTTTTTCTTAAAAAATAGTTACAGACTCTCTGGCTGAGGTGCTCTCTGTGCTCAGCTAACTAGAAGTGAAATTTACTGTAATCTTACCTAAATCTCAGTTATCTTAATTTTACCTGACTCTAAAATCCTGTTACAAAGTTACAGGATTTCTGCAACTCATTCAGATGTGTTAATGTAAAGCCTAGCACAAACCAGTGTACGTTGCCCCCCAGCAGCTGCAGCTTTGCTCATGGACTGGGGTCACATTGCACCTGTAGCCACCTCTCCTGGGGGCCAGTATTGTCAGAGCCAGAGAGCTTCAGAGCAGAGCTGGGAATACCTAAAGTACTGACAGAGCAGAAGAGGGACCATGTCATAGGAGAAGGCTGGGTGGTCACTCCATTGGCTGGGAATCACACGCTACATTATCAGCTGCCACTGATGCAATGAGTGGGGCCAAGTACCTGCTACAGTCTTATTTTTCTTAGGGTTCCCTTTGTTTTGATGGCAAGAGATACATTTTCCTAATCACTGATTCAAACACTCTTGACAACAATCAGATCAATTAATTAGAAAACTGTTACTAGGCTGCCTTCATAACTCAAGAGTTAGCTTGTAATCCATAACTCCAAACAGTCTTTTAGCAGCTGTTTTCTTGAAGTCCTTTCCTTTAAAATACTAATATCTCTTACACATCCATCTTCTGATTCAGAGGTTAAGAGTTCTTCTACTAGTATTACCTTTAGAAATATAGTTGATGGAAAATCCCCTAGGTAGTCTAATGATATGGTCCAGCTCCTCTCAAGTGCACAGGCCCCTTATAAATGCTACTCAAAAATCAATATCAATCCTTCAGTGCCTTCAAAAGATGTGGAGTAAAGGCCATAATAATGGTGATTGCCTCCAGCAAATAACTGCTCAGTGATTATACTGCAGTGGCCTGGAAGTCCAAATCTCCCTTAATAACTTTCAAAATGGATGCATGCTGGGAAATGTAAAATCATCGCTAGCATGCAGGTCAGTAGCTGCACTTTCTAGTCAAGTACCTACTTATTTACTGTGTTGCTCTCTTATTATTGACATAAGATTTTGCACAAGTCTGCTAAAAAAAGGTAAGCTGCAAACCAGTAGGTCAGCATTTCAGACAAGTTCAGCACAGCAAAGAGTACTGTGCACCACAGGAGAATCAGCTGGCAGCTCCTCCCTTTGCCTGTTTTATTTAGGAATCTGAAAGTAGACAAAGAAGAATACAATTTCAAAGACCATGGTAGTAAGGAAAAACTCACTCCAAGTGTAAACAAAAAAGCAGCATTCATATTTATGGCCTCTGATAGTTATTCTCTGAGTAAAGCAGCTGCTTGCTTGCAGTCAGAACAGGGGACTACTTAGCAAAGTCTGAAGTAGTGTTACGTACTTTACCACTAAGACTCTGAATGTCATGTGGCATTTGCCTGGAGTTCAAGTTTCCATGGTTTGCACGTGAGAAGGTCTCAGTGGACAGGATCAAACTCAGCACAGGCCAGGTGTAGCAGCCACTGCTTTCACTGTTCCACAGACTCAGCTGCTCCACTGGAGTAAGAGAGTGCCTACAAGTCACCCAAAGCCCAAGCTGCCCTAGGGCATTGCCTTCCCATCTCATTATCTTCTGCATGCTGACACTGAATCAAAATTAGCCAACCAACCAAAAGGGTTTGCCAAGACATCAGGGTTTCCTTAAAGTCTGCTCATGGTTGAATCCATGCTTGACCCATGTGTACAATTCACTCTCAAAAATAAAAGACATGATAAAGTTCTCTCTCTACAGAGAATTCTTGGCAAATGAGTGCTCCATCTTTCCAAGACAGGAAGTCCTTGCCATACAGAACAATCTTGCTATATTTACCCTTCACCCTAACAAAACTTGTAAGTAAAAATACTGGAAAAAATTGGCCATATACATACATAGATCTATTACCAGCAATGTTACTTGCTACAAGACACGATGAAGTAATTCTATAATAATAAAAAAAAATGTTGGAATTTGAAAGACAGTGGTGTTTTTGTATATTAAAACCAGAAGTACAAAATAAAGATTGATGAAAGAGAACTCCCAACTTTTTACTTTTTTAATCCTGCATTGGATTTTAAATATTTTTATTTCAATCATCTCTCAAATATTAAAGTTCATTTTCTACCAGTATTCCTACCAATTCAAATGTCTTAGCAAGTTCTGGAAAACCAACCTGTTTTGTAGACATGCTGTACCATCATGTTGCGTTCCAGAGCTCTGTTAACCATAATAAAATCTTTACTGTGTGCTTTCCCTGCATGTATAATATACTGTTTGTATGAATGTCTATCACAACTGGAAATATATTGTGCCATCTAGCAGCTGACAGTACAAGCAATGCATAAATATTAGAATAGAGAAAAGGTTAGTATGATTTCAGAGCCAGTTTCATTGAAAATTCTCTGAACTGGCCTCTCTCTTTGTGCCATCTGTTTTCATAGGACATTCTGGTAGCTGATGGGGTTTTTATTTCAAAAGCTCTGAAAACAAATGTTATGGCCAAATATATTCTCTACAATAAGCATTAGGTAGTGAAATAAATTAGACTAAGTACATACCCAGGAGTAAAATTTAGTTACAGGCATGAGTGCTACCAGAGGTATCAGACTCAGAGAACCCATTATGATTTAGACCTTAGTGATATGACAGTAATAAGATACCTTAAGCAAGCTGTGGGCTGAATCAATCAAGTTAATCTCAACTGTGTGTTAGTGAAGTCATTTTATCCATGTAACTTGATTTTAGTCCATTAAGACAGCCCTTTTACTTCACAGTGAGTATAATCATTATGTTTCCCTACCTTCATTTGTCTTCATTCAAAGGAGCACTCGACCACCTTGGTGCTTATTGCCATTAACAAGATTGTGGTTTACCTTAATACAGGGTCAAATGGAGTCACAAAGAGTCATGTGGATGATAGCAAGAGAATCTGCATCAGTGTGCTCAAGGTTACTATGTAGGTGAGAAATACAAATGAGCAATGAAATACAATTTAAGCAAACACTCAAATGGAAAACAAATGCGCCATTGCAGATACACAATTCCTGAAGCAGCTGTATAGGACTCCACTTGTAATTCTTGCAATGGGATTGAAAATCAGAAGAAATCAGAATTGTTAAGCAATGAGGAAATGGCAGATATTTTTTTACTAAAGCTGTATTTCATGAAATTATTATCTTTTACTGACAAGACAAGCATTATAAAACATAGAGAGTTAACTGCATGAGCATCTTAAGAGCCTGTGTATTGAAGCTCAAAAGTTCATTTGGCAGAGACTAATAGGCATAAAAGCTTTCTAGTTCATTTTAACACCTTCTGTTTTTCTCCCTGTTGCTGGCACTGATGTACAGTTATTATTGTAGTATCTGATCATATTTACAAATTCTTGCTACTTTTCCTCCTTAGAGACCT